GAGCTGAGGTCAAAGGACAAAGCAGGCGTGTGAGAGAGCATTGCTTCTATATTTGTCCTCTCGCACAAACGTCGACATATTTTCAAGGTTGAAAAGGTCAAAGTGGTGAAACTAATGACATCATCAATAGAGTCTTATTTCCCAACATGAAGATGAATAGTTAAGGTACGATTTTCTTGTTTTGTTTTTTTTGTCCCACATCTCGAGTTGAGTCACATCTAAAATTTAAAGTTATTTTTATTGTGTTCTAAATAGTTATTGTTTCCTTCTTGTTTTTTACAGGGTTCCTACACATTTTCCATTTTAGAATTCAGACTTTATTGTCTGAATTTACAAAGTTTGTATAAAGGTGTACTTTTATTATTTCCTTGTCCTCAGAAAGTTCTTAGAAAGCAATCATGTAGTACACCTTTAATTACCAAACCAATGTCTATATTCAGTTAATTTTACAGATATTGGGCTATAATATGATGTTTGTAGTAGCTAACAGTCATTCTCAACATATATGCTTACAGATGTCTATATTCTTGTCAAATAATCATTAAAGTTGTATTTTCATTGATGACATTATAACAAGGATAGATCAGGTGTCCAACAACAAAGACTGATCTGTTTTTATGTTCACAATTCTGGAGGGAAAAGGAAGAAAAAGTGGGAATTGTGATTTATATATCAAGTCAAAAGGAATACCTTCTCATGAGAGCACCTTTTACAAATTTATAATTTTTTTCTTTTAGAAAATAAAATGTCAGTCATAGAATCTTTGAACTTGAATGCTTTTTCATGCATGTTTTTTTTGTCCATATTAATCCTGGCTTGGAAAATGTTACAATCAAATTCTATACATTTCCATATTTTTCAAGACTACATAGGAATCCGTTTAATGGCCACTCTAAGCAATAATTGTAAAATCCTGTTATCAAAGATGAGTGAAAAATGGCACAAAGCCAGCATCTGAAAGACAACTTTTCACCACTACTTTTCCTCCTTTCTTCCCTTCCACTCCTCCTCTCCCCTCCCCTCAGCGGTGCATCCACTGTAACTGGTAGGAGCTGTAATTAATTGGAGTGGAATTCACTGCTGTTGACCTTTTCGTTGGTGATCATCACAATGACTTCCCCCTTTAATTCGTCAGCCATCACTCTTCAACCACCAGCGCAGCAATCATCACACAATCACTCACCCACATTTACACGCAGGAAAGGCAACAGCGTCACAGAAAACTTTGTCACACACACACACACACACACACACACACACACACACACACACACACACACA